CAGGCGTGTTTCTCTCTCTCTCTCTCTCTCTCTCTCTCTCTCTCTCTCTCTCTCTCTCTCTCTCGAATGCTGTGTAATTCTAAATAGGTGAATTTTTTGTAAATAAGCACTTTTGTAAATTAAAAAAAAATCTCTTAAGTTCAAGTTGCTTTATTGGCAGGACAGTATTGCCAAAGCATTTTAAGTATACTGTATGTAAAATACATAATAATTACAGCACCAATGTAATAAAGCAGACAATAAATGAGTAATAAATAAGAGAAAAATGCAGACAGTATCTCTAATATTATAAACCAAAAAACCAAATGAATACAATGGATTAACCATTTCATATGGTGTGCATGGTGTACACATATTTTGCAGCTAGTTTGGCTGCCATGTCATCCTCTCCAAATATATAGCGTAGTTTCTCTTTTTCGTCATTTAGAGTAAAGAATGTAAAATTCAGTGCTGCAAATTGTGGAAAAAAATATGTCCCTTGTATGGTGTACTTGGGACAGACAAGAAGAAAGTGTTTCTCATCCTTTATTTGATTCAGGTCACAGTGTTTGCATTGTCGCTGTTCTCTCGGTATCCAGGATTTTTTATATTTTCCATTCTCTATTTCTAAGTCGTGCTCACTGAGTCGAAATTTTGAAAGAATTTGTCTTTCTTTTCTTGTTTCTCTCTCTCTCTTGCCCTTTTTTTTGTTTGACCATCCAAGAGCTCAAATCCATTGAAAAGTTAAGGGAAGGAAAGTCTGGATTCAGACTTTATCCATTTGTGTAATCACAATGACTTCTTGTTCTGTGGCAAAAAATCCCACATTCGGCTGAATGCAGTTGGAGTGGTAGATATGCAGAAGGCAGCAAAAATATTTAAAGATAGCTCATCTTGGATACCAGGAAGAAAAGCATTTTCGTGTCACTTTTGTAATATATCATGAATTGCAATGTGAGAATCATACATAAGAATGTTATGGAACACAAAAGTATTTAGCTGAAATAAATAAATCCTTTCATAAACTTAATATATCTTATTGAGAGAGAAAAAAATAAAGAGAGGGAGGGACAGGCAGAGCTTCTCAGTGCTGTTATTATTAATAATGAAAGCTAATGAAAATAATGCTAATTAAATGTAAATAAAAATATATAAATATTAGATTAACTTAAAATCAGAAATGTTGCCTTTGAATCTAACTGAATATAAGTTTAAGTAAAATGACTAAAACTAAAACTGAAATCAATTTAAATTAAAGTGACATAAATATAACACATAAAAAAAATAAAAAATGTTAAGCACGTCACACAATTACTAAAACTTAAAAGTTTTAGAGTTTGGTTTACATTATTATAATAGTATTATAAATAATACTAAAACATTAACATAAAATAACAAAAAAATAACATTTCCATTTGTCTTTCTGAGGGGCCTCACTGATTGAAGACCCTGACAGACACTGGCCACGTTCACACAGCAGCAGAATATGGTTGTCAGTCCTGTATTTGAGTCCTTAATACTGTTACGTTCACACACAGTTTGGTTATTTACGGGTGTGACAACCGGCAAAAATTGACAGTGTGAACGTACCCACAGACTGGGGCCCGATCCATAATTCATCCTTTGTTACTTGTTCTCAAAAACAAATTAACACAGTTAAATGATGGTTAACGTAAACTAAGTAAAGTAAGTCATTTTTCATTCTGTTTTATAATAGGCCGTAACATTGACATATTGCACCACATGCATTTTTCTGCAGCGTTTCTCTTTTACCACTGACAACTCGGTTTTAGTGGCTGCGGGCCGTTTTCGTTTTGCCTTTCATTTATTATAAAACACATTCAGACGCAGATTCAGAAGGACTGTCGCCCAGTTTAAAACTACCACCGTGTCTTCACTGCGCCTGGAACTCCTCCATTGTCACCAACGAAGCTGTCAAAGGCAGCGCCCAGTCGCGTCGCGTCGTTTCTCTGATGTCCGTGAATACTTCCTGGTCCAAAGTTGTGTGTACACAAATCAAAGTCAGTTGAGAGCATATAGTGGGATTGTGAACTCACATTACGGAAATACACTTCAACGGACACACACACTTCTGTAAACTGAGGGACAGAGAAGAGAAGTTAAATAATTCATTCCTCAGTGCTGACGCTTTGCAAACATGATACCAGCAGATGAACATCATTTACGCAATGGAACCCTGAAGTCTCATTCTGACCAGAAACAACAGGGCAGCAACAATTTGAAAAATGGATATCACGCAACTGAAAAGGTAAGTCCAAGTCCGTCACTTCTGCTCAATGCGCCAATTAAAACGTGTTATTTTAAAAATGAAAGTTACAATACAAGGGGTGATTCTTAAGGTTGACTCGAGTTTAGGTCCGATTCATTTCAGCGAATCGGTTCGTTCAGATAGTTCTTTTAATGAATCCCTTCGAAAGAACGAGTCACCAGCTCGTTAGTCATCACTTAAATATGTTTAAACTCCATGCGCGATTTTGGTAATGAAATAGATGTTTACTCTTATGAAAATAGTTGCATTATTAACCATATAGTTTAACTGTAAAATTTGTATTTGTAACCACAGTCAAAACACTGGTGGATTGGCTTCTCTCTTAATTTAACTATGGTTTCAATAAAATTGTATTTTTATATACTGTGGTATTTGTCATTACAAGTGTCATATTGGTTATGAAAGATATTACTTAGCAAACTTAGAAATTACGTTTATTATTAAATTATGTAAATTGAGGTCTTTATTTTATGTAGTAGCCTATATGTTTGAATGTCATTTATCTATTAAATTGCAGTGGAATTCAAATAATATTTGAATATAACTTTTGGATTATAATGTTTTGTCAATTATATTTTAGGTGCAGAAAAATGGCAAGGGAGACGGTTTTCATCAACCTCAAGTTAGGGGTGAAGATTCATTTGAGGAGGCCCCCATGTACGTGGCTGTCCTGACATACATGGGTTATGGAATCGTCATCCTATTTGGCTATTTCAGGGATTTCTTAAGAGCTGTTGGCTTAGAGAAGTGCCATCAGGCCCAGGAGAGAGAAGAGCAAAAGGTAAGAGTCACTCTCCATCTAGCATATTTCTCAAACTGTGGTAACCATCATGTGAAGAAAAGTTAGTATGTTCCAGTTTGTCTTGTTCTAGTTTTCATACACTCTGGGAAGAAAATGTTGTTTTATTATTATTTTTAGCTTTACCTCATGTAAACCCTCCACTGATTGGTGGAAGGTTTTTTTATTTTTGGATCAGAATAACAACTTTCTGTGTGTCTATAAATGGCAAATATTCAGAGAGTTACATACTTAACATTTGGAAATAATAACTGTAAAAAGATGAGTATTTGTTAAGACAAATGTATTGTCAAACACAAAAGTGTTTTCTTTCATGTCATGTAATTTACACACCGTTCACTATGGAAAATCTCTATGATATGTGTGAGGTGATGCCGGGGAGGTTAAAGACTCAATTAAACCCCAAAGGAGAGTGGGTTCATTATTTCTGCTCACAGTCTGTCCATTGAGAATGCCGCCTTCACAAAGATGCCTCTTTCATGCACATTTCTAACTCAAAGCTGGTGGCATTACATTAGATGTGATTATTCAAAGGCATAAATTGAGTTTTTTGATGTTTAGTTGACACGATTATGAAACGGTAAGCTTTCAGAGGGAGTCACACCTTTAGCAAACTTAAATGTTACAATTGTGTTACACTGATATGAGTGAACACACTGTGGATTTCTGCCATGTTTTCCATGATCAGTGTGAATCACTTCAGCCAAATTGGCAGTGTCTAAATCTTCTGGGCAGTTGTGGATTAATGGTTAGAGAGTCGCACTTGTAACCCAAAGGTCGCGGGTTCAAGTCTTGAGATTGTAGGTGGGGGGTGGGGGAGTGAATGTAGAGCGCTCTTTTCCACCATCAATACCACGAATGAGGTGAGACCCTTGAGCAAGGCAATGAACCCCCAACTGCTCCCCAGCCGCCGCAACAAAAATGGCTGCCCACTGCTCCAGGTGTGTGTTCATGGTGTCTATGTGTGTTCACTACTCACTGCTGTGTGTGTGCATTTGGATGGGTTATATGCAGAGCACAAATTCCAAGTACTTGGCTACACGTCATGTCACTTTCACTTTCATTTCTAAGCTAGCTCTAATCTGTAAAGTACACAAATCAGTAAGAAGTGAGTGTAACAGACTTTTCAGTGAAGGAATGCTGATACAGCACCGATTAATATCCGATGAAAATAAATATATGAACTGGAAAAGAACTGGTTTTACTTCAGCACTGCACATTTCACAGAGTGTGCTTGATATGTAGGCCCATACACTCCATTAGCATTTAAGAGCAACATTTACATGTGGCTTCAAATGATCTCACAGCATTTGTGTTCTCCCTTTTCCTGTTTAACAGGGGTTTCTACATTGCCGTTTAAGTCACACACCAGCAAAGCTTTTTAACTGTATACTTTGTGTATTCTTTGTGTTAAATGAGAACAAAATAAGTCTATGAGAATCAGTAAGAGCACAGTTTTTTGTTTAAGCTTTCTTGGTGTTTTATGCCGGGTTCAGACTACACAATATTTTTGTCGGTCACGATAGTCACTGTGTCAGATTTCACGATTTTGTCATGTCGTGGCCAAGAAACATGTCAGACTACACGTTGCTTCCCGACCATTCATCGTGTGCCGTCTTTAACGACGCGCGTGATGTCATCGAGAAGGCGGAACTAGCGATTGACTTCCGCTATAGTTCGCCAGCATTTTTCTTTCTTTGTTCTGTTGTGGTAGTCCCTCGATGACACATCATACAGGCAGGAGTACTGTTGCCACAGCTCCACGAACCTTTCCTCCATCTCATAATTCCACCTAGCAGCACCATCATCCCTCTTTCGTTTTGCCATGTTTGAAACCTGTATATGAAAGAGCTTCTGTGCTGCTATTGGTCAACGTCACCAATGTGACAGAACTCGTCGTGGACGACGGAAAAAAAATTAAACATGCTAGTCTTATTCGGTCGTGAAGCATCGCAGACGCGGAATCGGTTGTCATCCACTATGGCACTACACGTGCTGAAACGATGGAATCCCGACACCCATTGTCGTTTACGAATCCCCACGACACCCTACGTCAAGCAAATCATGGCAAAATCAGGCTAAAATCGTGTAGTCTGAACTGGGCATTAAGAGAACACTTTGAATGCGTGATCTGAAATGCTGGGCAAAGAGCAGACACCTAGCTCCTCAGTGACCAGAAAAACTTATGAGTGGCAGTTAAAAGCTTAAGCAAAACTTGTAAAAGTCAGGTGGCAATTTGTTGCGCCTTTGTTATTTTCTGCTGTCTCAATTGTCTTTTGAGCAGTTCAAAGAAGTTTAATGAAGGCAGCACAATGAGGATTCTGATTAGACTCTCCCTCGTTGTTTTGGAGTTTACTTAAGGACAAGATGTGGATGAGTCTCTTAGGACTCTGATACTCACAGAGCAGATGGTTTTGAAACATTCACCCAGTTGTAACTACCCACGTGCAAATAGTGTCTTTTTATGGCTGATCTTGGGTCAGCCGTGCCATATTTTTTTATGAATAGGGCATATTGTGGAGGGGAAAGCAAAAAATACTAATGTTAGGTTGTTTTAAAAGTGCTTATGGTCATTATGCTGTAACTGATTTCTTGTATTACAGGACTTTGTTCCCCTTTACCAAGATTTTGAAAACTTTTACAAACGGAACCTGTACATGAGAGTCAGGGATAACTGGAACCGGCCTATATGCAGTTTACCCGGTCCGGTTTTTGATGTCATGGAAAGGGTCTCGGATGATTACAACTGGACTTTCAGGTAGGTCTATGCTTTGCATTAAAACAAATAGTCATGACCCTGTTGAAAAGACCAGGATATGTTTTAGGTGCCGATTCCTGCAGGATGTTTGTGTCCTTGCAAGGATTCTTAACTAGCTTAACCAGCAAGTTGGTCAGCCAACTTTTTGGACCAGCACTATCAAGTGAGAAATATATTACAGTATGATATTATATACTATTATACAATACTATATACTAACATATACTATTTTTTTAATTAATGTATTAAAGAAATTAATACTTTTATTCTCTTATAATACTTTCACCAAGGATGAACTACATTAATGAAAAGTGGCAGTAAAGACTTTTACAGAAAGATCATGTGACACTGAAGACTAGAGTAATGTCTGCTGAAGATTCAAGCTTTTCCATCAAAGAAATAAATTGCATTTTAAAATATATTTAAAGATAATTATTTCATATATTTAAAAAATAGTTACTAAAACTATTTCAAAATATTAATACTGTTTTTACAGTTTTTCAATCCAATAAATGCAGCCTTGGTGAGCATAAGAGATGACTTATTTCAAAAACATTAGAAAATCTTACCCACCCCAAACCTTTGAATGGTAATGTATATGAAATAATATTAAAGTATCATTTCATCAGGGTAGAAATGTAATAATATTTGATAAACTAATAAGTTGTGTCAGTTATATGATTATAGCAAATTTTTCCCATTTTGTTCTGTAATTTCGGTTCATGTTATTCACTTTTTCTTTTAATGGCTGCACTTACTCACACTAACTGCTGCTTTGTAATACACACTCCTATATTATACCCATTGATTTCAGTTCCAGCCTGGAACAAGAAAAAATAGTCAACAACTTGGTTGATGTGTTACTCCTCTGACAGGTTAACAGGGAAAACCGTTGAGAACGTCATAAATATGGGCTCCTACAACTATCTGGGTTTTGCTGAAAACAATGTCGACTTCCTGAAAACCGTAGCAGAGGAGACCAAACAGAACGGGGTGGGCGTCTGCAGCACAAGACAGGAACTAGGTATGTGTGTGGCTACACCGCAACCCGAAACACACCTACAAAAACAGAAACAGGTTAAACAGCATCCAACATTGTTTGTGTAAGAACAAGCATATTAGGTTGTTGAGCAACTATTTTGGTTTAGTTAATGCCATCATTTACCTGTGAAAAGCATTTTTTTCCACTTGCGATCAGACCTGCTTTGAGCATCGTTCATAGAATTCCTTCTTCACAAATACATGACAAGTTGTTGTTTTTTCTCTCTGGGAGATTTATTAGATAGATTGATAATTTATTTGTCCTCAGAGAGGAAATTCATTTTCACAGAAGGTGCGTATACAACACAAGGACAAGTACCCATTATGTACAAACTTGTCACAATACATTCACGAAAAAAAAAAAAAAGGCCCAACCTGTTTTTGAATTTGCAGCGCAAGTTGATGATTGACTGAACTGTTTCATATCTCTCTACAGGTTTATTACATGTGTTGTGATTAATTCAATGACCCATAATGATCTTCCTCATATTTTCATGCTGAAATATATTTTAATCTATCTTAGGTTAAAAACTAACTAGCTTGTTTGCACTAAGGCTAAAAGGTGAAATGGTTATCTGGGTGCATGTAATTTTTTTAAAGCATTCATGTTAAGGTTCCTACAGTGATAGAAAACCAGGCTTGTGATTTCCAGGCTTGAAAAAGTCTGTAGTGGATATATATACGTACATACATGTATTTTTAGCTTTATTAATGCTAAGCTCCAAAACATTTAATCGGTTATGAAATTACTCTTTGTGAGTTCAGTCTCTTTAAAATGAATTTTAAAAATGATTATTGAGTAATCACAAACAACTTCCATGGAAATTCATTGGTAAAATGGTGTGGAAATCCTTGCTGGTGGTTTAAAGATTAGACCTGTTCAGGCACAGTTGTAAGTACTTTGGTGTGACGGATGTTCTAGGATCTGGTTATTCTGGTTTGTTGAATGTCACATTTTTCAGCTGCTTCATGACGTTAGCAAGGCCGTAAAACATCACGTGAGCACAGTCACGTTAAGTACACTTGACAGTAAACCTGGAAATATTTTGGTCACTGTTTTATTTCACTTTTTCTCTGTCACAACTTTTCAATCTCCTCCTCTCGCATACACAGTTACACAGTAAAAATACACACCCCTCTTAATGATATAATTGTGTCATCAGATATCAGATCATTTGCATTGCAAAGTAGGTCATCTGAGATCTTTTATCTTGCGGTGCTATGCAGTGACAGTGGTGAATCTAAGCCAAATACCACATCAGAAAGAACATGTGATCATGAGGTATGGGAGTATTTGTGTGTAAAGTCGTATCATTCATTATTCATTTGAGGGATTCATTAATTTTTTTCTGCATCTCTCAGAGGTTGTCCTTGCTTTTGGATATATTTTTGCAGGTCCTCTGTAAAATGAGCAATAACAACTAACCCCATGACTCCTTATTAAGATGCCGTTCCTAATTAGACGCCTGTGTATGTATGTGCGTATTAGGAATGGGCATTTTTAAATCATTTTGTAGAACTCTAAAACATAAAATGAGTAAATGATTATTTGAAAATTCTTTATTTTATTTACAAACATCACATCACCAGTGTTTTAAAAAAGTATAAAATACTAATAAAAAGTAAATATATGAAATACGCAAAATATGAAATAATATAATAAAGTTTATATTTATAGAAATAAAGATGTATAAATAACTTCTTTTTTTAAATTCAAATTAAAAATATTAATTAATCTTGTTTTACTTAGTTTTACTAATGGGAGATTTGGATTTCTGAAGATATTGTTGCATCTCCCAGGTTACATAAGATTACTATTTTACAGATAACCCATGTGATGTTGGGTAATATGTTTTTAACTATAACATTACGGTCATAGTTGACAGCACATTTTTGTTCCGACTGCAAGATCAATAAGGTCCGTGTTTGTTTTTGGTGACAGGTTTTAAGGCTGATGCATCAATCATTTACAGAAATTCTGCCTGTAGGATTGTCTTCGTGTCCTTAGAATTCATTATTGTGTGTGTGTGTGTGTGTGTGTGTGTGTGTTTTCAGTCACCATGGACTATTTAAATGTACAAAGAATTTATAGGTTTAACATTGTTACAGTTGCCAAACACTAATATCACTGAAGCACGTGGCACTCAAGTATGAGTCGACAACATAATGGGCCATCTAAGTGTCACATTTATTGTAACAAGAGCTAAATGTTTCACCATGATGATGTGGGTGGCAAATGTTGTTTGCTACACTATTTTCCTATGAGACAAAAGTTGTCTTCCTCTAGAAGTTTCTTAAGTGGCTTGTAAACCAGAATCTTGGAATGTAAAGCTTGAAATGTGATGTTAATTATCTCATATGAAAATGTGTCTGTTATTTAAGCTGTGATGCTGTGTAAATCATCTTTTTACGGTTTGGACTACTGTTTTAGGTGGATAAACCTGTTTACTGGTTTAAAAATGTTGTTTAAAAAAAGTACAGTGTTTACTGATTTTTGATAACATTTTTGATAGTTGAAAATTTGTATATGAATTTACACAGACAGGATTAATAAATACTTTATTATATTAGTCTCATGTTAATGTTTAGAAGTATATGTTCTAGTATAATATGTTAAATAGTATGTTAGTATTTTAAAGTACATAAGTTTACCTGTATGTAATGTTTATTCCAGCGCAGTGCCTTGTCCCACTTTCAATGTAAGTAGTACTGTAAACATGATTTTCTGTGGTAATCTGTGGTCACAGATGATGTTGTTCAGACTTAATTTGTATTAAACACTGAACGTCGATACCGTTTTCAGAGACGTTCCCATTCATTACAATTAAATTAAATTAAATACAATTAGGTTAAGATGCTTTGAGAACTTGCTGTTTTATGGGCAGTTTCTGCTTGTGTAGGTGGATGAGCTCTTCATGGGTCTCTCTCTCATTTCTCACTTCATTAGACTACAACAATACCCTGGTTAGAAGTCAAGACCCTTATGGGTTTCCTCTGTAGAGAGAGCTTATCAGTTATCACATTGAAGTGCAGTGTAGTCGCCCGACCCTGATTCAGGTTTAATCAAACACATCACGCTTCAGCTGTCGCTGCGAGAGGGAACGATTGGAGGTCTGGAGTAATCAATAGTGTTTTAGAGAACAAAGCTCTCTATAGGAATCATGTAAAAGGAGAGGTGTTTTCTCACGGTACAACCACTCGTGACTACTGTCTTATTCAGTGGGAAATATATCTTTAGCCAGAATTTCTTGCTTAAAGCTGTTAAACCTTTCTAACTTTCAGACCATTATGGTATTTTTGGCACTTTGATGCACAAGAGGGGTTCATGGGATCAGGAAATAATGCCCACATAAGAACCGTGGCTGAGCATGCACATTAACATGGCTACAATTATATTGTGTTTTAAAATTTGTTAATTTATATTTGCATGGATGTGTGTTTACAAATTGTGCATGAACGGGATGCAGAACCAATTCAAATCGTTCACCCAAAAATGAAAAGTCACCCTCATTCACCCAATTATTTTACTCGCTATCGTGTCGTTCCAAAATCAAACACATCACGCTTCAGCTGTCGCTGCGAGAGGGAACGATTGGAGGTCTGGAGTAATCAATAGTGTTTTAGAGAACAAAGCTCTCTATAGGAATCATGTAAAAGGAGAGGTGTTTTCTCACGGTACAACCACTCGTGACTACTGTCTTATTCAGTGGGAAATATATCTTTAGCCAGAATTTCTTGCTTAAAGCTGTTAAACCTTTCTAACTTTCAGACCATTATGGTATTTTTGGCACTTTGATGCACAAGAGGGGTTCATGGGATCAGGAAATAATGCCCACATAAGAACCGTGGCTGAGCATGCACATTAACATGGCTACAATTATATTGTGTTTTAAAATTTGTTAATTTATATTTGCATGGATGTGTGTTTAGAAATTGTGCATGAACGGGATGCAGAACCAATTCAAATCGTTCACCCAAAAATGAAAAGTCACCCTCATTCACCCAATTATTTTACTCGCTATCGTGTCGTTCCTAACTGCATTACTTACTTTTTTCTGTGTAACTTAAAAGAAGATATTATGAGGAACATCTTAGTGTTTTTGTCCATACAGTGGAAGTCAATAGTCATCAAAACGGTTTGGTTACCAAAATTCTTCAAAATATCTTCTTTTGTATTCTGCAAAAATGATGACAATTAATTTTTTGGATGAACTCTCCCTTTGAAGTGATAACTTCTGTCTTTAGGGCCTGTTTATTTGGGTCTTCAGAATGTAATGGCATTTTATAGTATGAATTAATGAATGATGTATTTATATAAATGAAGTAGTAATAAATAGTAGTAATAAAAAACACTTTAGAGATTTATGGCACATATCTATAGCCGATCGCTCTATCTATATTGAACTTTTAAGGCACTTTGGGTCACATTTGATCTCACAGTATCAGATGTTCTGTTTGTTTTTGTCTTCTTGACATTTATGTACCAACATTATGGTAGTATTTCATGTCTGCAGTTATGTCTTTAGTCTCTGAAGGCACCTACTGAGTGATTAATAACCTTTCACCTCGCATGTTCTGACAGATCTCATTTGTTTCCTCCATGCTGACCCTGTCTAAGCCTCTAAAACTAGAAAAGCTAAAGGAGGCATGCAGGAAAATCAAGTTTCCTTCAAAGCTGTTGGAACACCCAATCTGGGAAAGACTGTGGTCTAATGAATTGAAAAGTGTATATCTGAGCTTTCTGTCAACAGTGGTGTGAGGCATTTTTTCTTTCCTTCTGTGGCCCTCATAGCATTAAGCTAAGCTAAAGATTTTATACCAAAAGCTTGTTTAATATCCATGTAAAGTAAGTAAAATAAGAGCAGAGAGGGCTACTTCGATCTTTTTTCAAAATGCTTCTAACTCTTGTTCACTGTCCTGAATGCCTTCTTTCGTGGATATGGATAGTAGTGGCCTTGGATTTTATTTAGATTTTATTCAAAAACCTCCTCTTGACAATCTCAAGAACGGATTCAGTCTCTCACTTTTCCTCACAAATCACTTTCTTCTTCAAGAACAGTGGTCTTGTGGTTAAAGAAAGCAGTCAGCACAGGTGTTCCGGACATTCTGACCTGTGACATTTCCTGCTCCCGTTTAGTGTAATGAAAAAAGTCCAAAGAGATTCTTGTAAAGTCATTTTGATAAAGTGTCAGCTTACTAATACATTTCTTTATCTTTTTAATAGGCAACTTTAGCATCCATGAGAAACTGGAGCGACTTGTGGCGGAGTTCTTGGGGGTGGAGTCTGCAATGGCGTTTGGAATGGGTTTCGCCACCAATTCCATGAACATTCCGGCACTAGTCGGAAAGGTCAGTGTTTAAAAATGTATCTTAAATGGTGTCTCTTTAATTTTTACATCTGTCTTAAATCCCTCAGTTTTATCTGTTGAAGTGAACTCACAAGTGTGGTATTAATCTATTATCTCTGGGCGCCTGCAATTAATTGTTACTATAAACAGTTTTTCACACACCACAATATAACCCAATGAACCAGCTCACTAAACAAACCCTTGTTAAAAGTAATGCCCAATCAGATAAGCAAACACAGTTAGAACTGACAGTTTGTTTAGGGTGTCTCATTAGGGTTTGTTTATGATAGTCTCAATGATGTGGTCAGTCATAACCAGCTCAGATGAGAAGACCTCAGGCTCTAGATGAGATCCAGAGAGCTAGGGGAACCGCAACCAGTTAGATTGCGTTAAGGGGGATGTTTTTCCTCAAGGAAAGTCTTTATGATGTTGTGCCATGGAGGTATTGGTTAAGCAGTGGGTCCAACAACTTGTGCCTTCTGGAGGAGGTGTCAGTTCAAGGCCTCTCAAGGTGAAGAGGAGATGACAGCAACCATTGTTGAATCAGGCCATGCTCTGCAGCTATTGACACTGTCATCCAGTTCACATTAGAAGATCCAAACATTAAGTCCAATTTATTTTAACAAAAAAGCACGGTGACACCTAGTAAAACTAGGGATGCGGGTTCTATTCCCAGTGAACATGTTTAGTCATAAAATGCGCTAATTACTCAGTAGTGTTCCCAGAAGTCCTTGTAAAACATTTATGTCTTTGTAGACTAAATATAATGACTTAATTCTCTTTTCTTCTTAAATGGATTTTAAAACTATTCTTTGTGTAAGTGGTCAAGGACCACCTTACTGGTCACTGCAAAAGGCAATGAAGTGGATCTGTATTCCTGATAGTTCACCTCCTATCTGGGACAGGATTGAATCTGGGGTTTAGATAATTAAAGGGGAATTGGCAATTAAAGGTGCAATAGGTGATTGTCTTCAGAAACATTTTTTGTTATGCTGGTTGAAAGTCTCTCGGTCCGAGCATTTTAATATGCTTTCCTACCTGCCTGTCAACGTATGTATTAGCATACCTCTGCGCACCCTGTTCGCGCAGACAGGATACGTCATCAGCATATTCATGCACGCTGTGCAGACAGAGCGAGGATGGCAGGCAAACATCAACAACCCGATCTTCCTTCCTGGTATTGTAGTACTTTTAAAGTTTTCTCGCCGGTGAATGACACATGATGTAGCCCAGCGGTTAATACAGTCCTCGTGCCAGCTCGTTAGAAGTGAGCTACGTGCATGAACTGTGTTCCAATCGATATGATCCCTACACAGTGTTCATTGCTCCTTACTCCCTGAGCAGGAGAAATCCGTTGAAGTTTACTTCACTTCGGAACATGGGCTGGAATTGGGAACCGTTGATGTAGCCTATTGTAGTAATGTTGTCTCTGGTCTGTGAGCATAAATGTGTTCAGGGGGCGTGGCTTTGGATGGCGATTGCAGGGAGGGTGGGACATTCGCGTTCAGTGCTATCAGGCTAAAGTTAGCATTTTCCAAGATCTCCTACTGCACCTTTAAGATTCAATGACAGTAAATGAGGGAGAGAAAAGTAAAAGATAAATAAACAAATAAAATAAGAAAAAAAAGATGAAGAGAAAGTTTTATCATTTGTAGCTCTATTTTAAATCTTTATATTGTATTGACATTTATATTGTAGTAGTGGTTATTTGTGATATTTCTGAATGGACCCTAACAATATTATTCCACACATCGTGTTATTGATAGATTCCTGCTTAAAAATGTGTTCAGAGCCGTGCAGTAACAATGTCTGTTTCCAGGGCTGCTTGATCCTGAGCGATGAGCTAAATCACACATCCCTCATCCTGGGAGCCAGGTTGTCGGGGGCAACCATTCGAGTCTTCAAACACAACAGTGAGTACATATTCAAAATATTATGAAATTCATATCCACTAGGTCACGGTGTGTTCAGTTATACATGCAACTGCACACCTTCATAACCACATCACGGACATGGCAGTTGATTATAAAAGACTGAAAATGAAAAAGACTGCAGGTTTTTTTAATTACACATGCTTTGGAGAACAGAGGTGGGGAAGAGAGAGAGAGAGAGAGAGAGAGAGAGAGAGAGAGACCCCATGCATGTGTTGTGTAATATTGAGAATTTAATAAGGTGAGACTGTTTTTATGGGACAAATCAAAATTGCAGGTTTTCACAGGATGCTTCCAAACATGGTACTTGTCTGTAATGTATACTACCTTTTAAAAGTTTGGGGTCTGTATGATTTTTTTTTATGTTTTTGAAAAAAGTTACTTAAGCTTACCAAGACTACATTTGTTGGATCAAAAATACAGTAAAATCAGTGATATTCTGAAATATTATTACCATTTAAAATAACAATTTTCTATTTGCATAAATTTTAATTTATTCCTTTGATGGTAAATCTGAATTTTCAGCAGCCATTACTCCACTCTTTAGTGTCACATGATCCTTCAGAAATGTTTGGTGAATTGGTGCTTGAAAACATTTATCATCAATGATGAAAACAGTTGTGCTGCTTAATATTTTTGTGGAAACTGGGACACGGAATACATTTTTTAAGAATAGAAATAAAAAGTTCAAAAGAACGGCATTTATTTGACATAGAAATCTTCTGTATTAAATGTATTTTTTTATATATATATAAATGTCACTTTTGATCAATTTAATGTGTCCCTCCCTGTAAGTATTAATTATTTTTTTTTAAATTGTACTGACTCCAAACTTTTGAAAGATAGTTTATGAATCAATTGTTTACAGCTATTTTTGCTTCAGGAGTCATATTTTTACATCAGAAACATCGACCACTTACTGATTATTTATTTTATTAGAGCAAATACAAATATTTGCAACAAAGCACTGTATAGACATAGAAGCAATACTAAGATGTAAAATCATGAAAGGGAATGGCCAACTTTTTTTTAGAAAGTCACATGACTGAAGACAACAGAAGCACTACTTTACACTTGATGTGTCAGAAGACGTTGAGACCCAGATTTCAAACCAGTCAGTCATTCTAATATCGAAAGACACTGAAATTCTCCACCCAACACTTCTCCTTAAATGTGGGAAATCAGATAGGGAAGAGAATCACATGGATTTAATAACCATATAAAATTTATTTCACTACAGTGTATAACTCATGAAACACAGATTTTAATAAAGCAATAGGACTGGCTTAAAGTGTCTTAGTCAAGAAAAGGTCACATATTTCCATGTATTAGGAGTCAGCAGAATGGCACCAGATGTTAAAAGGGTTTTTCCAAGCTGTCTTCTGTTTTTGATATGCATTAATCCATATATTTATGTTTTTAGAGAATACATCGTGTTTCATTTTATTTTCGCTGCAGTTCACACCATGATAGGAAGGGATTCAGTCTGCATTGAAGGGCAGAGTTAAGTTTCAGTCTTGAAAGCGTATGTGCAACAAAGCTGAACTTATTTGATCAAAAATACAGCAGCTATTACTCCAGTCTTCAGTGTCACTTGATCCTTCAGAAATCATTCTAATGTGCTGATTGCTGCTCAATAAACATTTCTTATTATTAGTGTTGAAAAGTTGTGCTGCTTAATTTTTGTTGAAATTTAGATACATTTTTTCAGGATGCTTTGATGAAGAGAAAGTTCATAAGAACAGCATTTATTTGAAATACAAATCTTTTGTAACATAAAATTCTTTACTGTCACTCAATTCAATGCATCCTTGTTGAATAAAAGTATTAATTTCTTTAAAAAAAAGAATACTTTTGAACGGTATAGTGTAAGTCAACAGAAGAGCAATTAAACTGGCTAATAAAAACATTTTTACATATAAAAAGTAAATATGCATAAAAAATAAAGAGGTCGGAGTTGTGGATTACCGAGGAATTTACCAATTAATTCTTTAAAAATCCTACAATGTGATTTTCTGGATTTTTTTTTCTCATTTTGTCTCTCATAGTTGAGGTATACCTCTGATGAAAATTACAGGCCTCTCTCATCTTTTTAAGTGGGAGAACTTGCACAATTGGTGGCTGACTAAATACTTTTTTGCCGCACTGTATTTATAAGCAGGACTGTTAAAGCAAAGCCAAGCCTTTTAATTCAAATTGAGACATGGATATAACGCAGAGTTAATTAACTAGCTAGCTGTTTCAAATAAAACTCCTCTGCTTCAGTTGGACAAAGGGTTCTAGTCCAAACTTGTCCGAAGAGAATCTCTCTAGGCTGTTTGAACACTGTGATGTCTATATCAGACTTGGGCAAGCCGCCCATGGGTGTCATTACCAGCATGATGTGCAGCTCTGTGGAGGGTGAGTCACACTGATCTGAGAGTTTGCTTTACAATGCTCCATCCCTCTCTGAATACAACACAATAGGCAACGGATGACCTGCCATATCTGAACTTGTTCCACATCCATGACTAATTGTTTGGTTTGAGCTTAACCTGCTGTTTCTAGAGTTTGCCAGTGTTCAGTTGAAGAGTTTCTAATGTAATGAAAGTTAAGAGCATTTGTTTTCGTTCTGCTGACATGAGGTCTTATGTGCTTGGCTTTACAGCCCACCTCCTTTTGAAATACCTGCCAATCGGTTCACAGGTAATTATATGCAAACTCAGGCCGTGGTGCCAAAGGGAGCTGGAGGTGGACCTGGCCAGCCCACAGAACTGCATGATTCACACAATTAAATATGGAGGAGGGAATGAGAGGTAGACATAAACTGAACAAGACAGAGAGTGAAAAGTATTGATGTTCATTGAGCTACTGATGTGTCTCTAATCGCATTAAGTTGTTAGAATTATCTCTTTGTGGTTCGAACCACCAAAGTTCAGATTATTGGTCCAGAGCAGTAACCGCTACGCTGCCACTAACCACATGGTACCATCTGCATCTGAGTCCATGCTTCTCAGTTTACCACAGTCTCCAATTGTGTGCCAAATCCATTGTATCCTATGTACAAGCCAAGAGTGTCTTGGCAAAGGATGACATTTGTCTACCATTCAGCCTGACAAAACAAAACCAGCTGGTACTGTTTTTCACATCGACAGACTCCACACACACACACACACACACACGTATATTATGAGGTGTTTTGAAGAGAGTACAGAAATTAGCCTCAAAATGTAATGAAAACATATAACGTCTGTAATAATTTATTGTTTTGCTGTTTTCTTCCTGTTTTTGTTTGTTACTATGTTATGGATTATTTTATGAATGGGTCTGCTCTGTCTCACTTAACTACTTAATGGTCTTAATGAGGGGCTATTAAAAGAGCGATCCTGGGATTTGAACGGCAGAGGAGATGATGTAATTTCCCGTCTCCTCTTTTGGGCCCCTTTCCTAGTCTTTCACATACAATCAGCCTATATCCTAAAGGGAACTAATAGTTGTTTATAAACTCTTCCTGATTATACTTACAGAAAAAAAGGTGAAATGTATACATTCTAGTATGTCTAGGAAAAGGAAAGTTAAGGTATTTTTAGTAACTGCTGGTGGTATGGCTTTATGCCACTACATTATGTTGCAATTCCTTGGCCATTTTCCCAGTGTTTTCAACCATATTTAAGTAGAACAACTATGAAACTTGCAGGCAAAGAGTGTAGTCAAAAGAATTGGAAAGTAGTGGGCTAAACTTGTGCCAGCTGTTTTTAGGACTAGTTTGTAGACATATTTGTTCTATGGTTTGCCTGACATGCTCTGTTTGGCGTTCATGCTACCGCAGAGTGGGCGAAGACTCTCTTGAGAGCTACAAATTACTGTAGAATTACTGTGACAACAGTTCAGTGAATAACCAAATTACCATCAGATTCAAGCAGCTTATGTTTATGCAAAATATCATGAATAAATGATAAAATCATCACAGTCACTGCCTTCAGGTTGTGGGGACAGTTGGGAGGCAGGTGCATAGATGTGCTGCTTGTGATGTCACAAAATGGTAAAGTTTATGAATATTAATTAGGTTATGCACAAATAAATTTAAGATGATATTTTACTGTTTTGGTAAATAGTCTATATGTTACTGCTTAAACTAGTCTTACTTTAGTCATCTAAATTTTTTTGGTCATAAATTTCAGTGACATAAAAAAGTAAATTGTTCTAATTTTAATCTGAAAAGTATTATTTGCACTTTTCCTTTTGACCTGTGCTTGCTGTTGTAAATCATGATCTTTACTTTATTGTAGACTCGCATTTATGTCTGTCCTTTTACAATGAAAGCTAACAAATTCTCCCCGATGACGCCTCTGTCTGCATCTCCCCTGCAGGCCAGCGAAGAGTTCGGCAGCTGTCTGAGAACATGCGCTACTTCAGATCTCGGCTGAAGGAGATGGGCTTCATCATTTATGGCAACCAGGACTCTCCAGTGGTACCGCTCCTGCTCTATCTACCTGGGAAAGTTGGGTAAGCAGCTCCCCAAGCCATTGACCCATTCGGACTGCCAATTCTGGCTGTGTCCAGTTCGCACAACATGTTTAAAAGAGCATCAGTTTACACTACAGCATCTCCAGGCTCACATTTACACGAACCCTATTTAGTCCATTGAAAACCCACAGCCTAGATCGCTGGGCCAGCAAGAAGCAAAACATTATGTTTCTTTGTGAGCCTTTTTCGCATCTGTGCATCTTCTTTGTGATAAAGGACAGTTTCCACTATCTGGACACTATAGTAATCCTCCTTTGAACTTGTGAACCTGCCCATATTTCGGGCTGCCAATAAAACAACAATGCATTGGGTTACAAAGGTGATAGCTTTGAATGCCATGTGGAAAATGTACTGACTGCTTGAGGACACCCCAACAAAAGCTGCAGTCATCTTCACTGGTCCAAAGAAGGCGATGTGGTCTTTTCAAGAAGACGTTGGACCGTAGCCATCTTGGATGGTCTAGTTGATCCATGAATCAGTGGTGAGGGAAAAAAACAAGAGGCTCAACATGACATGCGAGAGGCTCATCACTGCACAGGCGTTTCAGACTCCTCCAAAGATAACAGCTTCCTGGCACACCAACAAAGACGACGGCAGCAGTGATGCCTTTTAAATCCAGCTTTCACTCTCCGTCGCCGCTCTGTTCTCTCGCTGCTGTCGTCTCTGTTGACAAAGTGGAGGCCTACTCTCCTCCTCTCACTCTCAATCTTTTCCTCCTCCATTATACCTTTCCCTTTGCCTTTCTCTCCCTGTCAATCCATTTCTTTTTCTCCCACTTGGCTAATGCAAATGACAGCCCAGCTGTGCGGTTTACAATGGATTTCCCTTCACTCAAAGGGTGAGGAAAGGTAGCAGACAGTGCAAACTCTGAATGGGAATCTCGACAGCTTTACCCTGCATAATGTTTCTACTTTAAGTTCTAGTTAGGCGGTGTCTTTGTGATATCTAATCACAGTCTCAGTTTGTAATGAAGATTGTTATACTAAGAGCACTGATAGCATCTGGAAACTTGAATGCATAAAAAGTTTTTGGAAACAAGCATTAAGGCATGTACTGCTTTCAGGGTTAGCGTGAAAACCTCTGCCCGTTTTATGCCATCAATCATGATATCAATGCTAAACATACCTAACAAAAAAAAACTGAAGATGCAAGCTGTTCTAGAACATTTGAATGCTTGGCAAACTTCGATTAAAATCTGTAACAAAGTTGTTAATCGTCTGCACACAGGGCGTTCTCACGGGCCATGTTGAAGAGGAAGATTGGTGTTGTAGTTGTAGGTTTCCCGGCTACACCTATTACAGAGGCCAGGGCTCGTTTCTGTGTGTCTGCCGCCCACACCAGAGAAATGCTCGATAAGGTAATAAATTACAACACCCAACATCTCACAGACCTGTTATGGTATTCTTTTGTTTTTTCTTAAACTGTTAGTGTTAAACAAGTCTAGTGAAAGGAAAATTAGTGTTCAGGCAAGAAGAAAAATCTAAAACTCTTTAAAAAGCTTAAAATCTAGTATATTTCCAAAGATTTCTAAATAGGGATGCACAATATAAAAAAGTATTTGATATAGTTTATATATGATATATGATTATATGATATAGCAAGCTGTACGTGATTGGTTCACTAAAAAGAACCAGCTCAAAAAAATAATTAGTCATGATAGAATGGGAATCAGTTGGACTACATGGTTGTGATGCATGAAACTGATTGAACACCTATTCAATTTATTTTAAAACCAATTTATTTGATTTATTTGAGCACTTTTTTATGATCCAAAGCAGGTTTAATGCTTCAAACATGGCACTGGAATGTGCCACAAAAGTGGAGTAACTCATCTCGGATATATTCCCAATAAAAAAATTTAAATAGCAACCTCTGAATATCTTAGCCTCACATTTCACTCCATGTCCTTTCAGGTTCTCCAGAGCCTTGATGAACTTGGAGACCACATCAGGGTGAAGTTCTCCCGTCACAGACCTTCTCATCGGCAGGAGCTGTATAATGAAACAGACTTTGAACTGGACAGCTAATCACTCATCGTCATCACCGTGAGTGTGGTGGCTTGTCCACATTGAGGGACTGCCAAGGTGTGAATACCTTGGTCATTTTTAGAAGAAAAAGTGTCTTGCTGTTCCGCACAGGACAATTCTTTAAAAAAAAAAAAAAAAGGAAAGGAAAAAAAAAGTGCAGTGTTTATTGCTTTTTCAGGTTAGTCCTGCTATGAGGCATGGACTTTTGTATTTATATCATCGGCAGGAGCTGTATAATGAAACAGACTTTGAACTGGACAGCTAATCACTCATCGTCATCACCGTGAGTGTGGTGGCTTGTCCACATTGAGGGACTGCCAAGGTGTGAATACCTTGGTCATTTTTAGAAGAAAAAGTGTCTTGCTGTTCCGCACAGGACAATTCTTTAAAAAAAAAAAAAAAAGGAAAGGAAAAAAAGTGCAGTGTTTATTGCTTTTTCAGGTTAGTCCTGCTATGAGGCATGGACTTTTGTATTTATACATTGTAAAATCATATTTAACTGTTTTTAACTGCCATTTCACAGTTTTATGAAGTTTTTTTAAATTATTTTTTCCTCAGGGGAATGTGGGAAAAAGGGAGGATCCGCGACGGCTGTGTTTATAGAACATATATCAAAAGCTGCTCTAAATATATCAAACAATTAACTCCTTTAACACTGACCTACATCAAAACTAGCTGCGGATAAGAAATCCCTTGAAGTGGCCCTATTTTTTCATCCTGCTGCAAAGATAGACTGATGAAAGACCTCCATTTTGTGCTGGATTATGTGTTTGTGTGATTCACAAGTACATTGATTGAACAAGGTTAGGCGTTACAGACCGAGCGCAGCTCATTCACAGTCGTTAAAACATTCATGCATTGCATCTCGCAGATCCCAGTCCTGCAAATTTACGCTGATAGGCATTTATTTGTATTTTTTGTGCAGGAAACTACTTCTAATCTTAAAACAGTAAAAAGCTTTTATGGACTGATTGTACTTATAAACGTTTGCTTGGAAAGTTCAAAAAAGTTTTGTGTCATTTGTTTGCATATTTTGGATGCAGGACTTCTATTAATTTGCATGATTTTAGAATTTTATTTCACTCCAAGAATAACTTCTAATTCAAAAACAGTTACACTTTTCAAAAAACACCGGTCCGGACCCACATGCAGCACAACTTGTGTAGGCTGATCATTACTGAATAATTTTTTTCTTTTTAATGAATCATAGCTCTGATTCTGAAATTGACTTAAGATATTTTTAGTGAATCAGTTCCATACATTACAACCAATACAGTCCAACTGATTACCAAACAAATGACTCTTTTGAGCCAGTTCTTTTTAGTGATTTAAATGCATACAGCTTACTGTCTCGTGTTATGTTATGCTATTCCAAAGTTCAAAAGTACTTTGTTAATTGAACCATTGAAAAATCTGATTCATTAAGAGGAATCAGACTCAGAACTTACAATTTCCATTCTTAATTATGACATGCACCTCCACATTCAGATGGTCTCCATAGAAACTCTATTTACTACAGTGAACACCAAACATATAGTAATTACCTCTGTGACTTTCATATGCTACAAAAGTATTTGTGCTAACAAGTAGTGTCTGCACATGTTTTACCAAACTCTCTGCTTTGAATAAGACAAAACTTAATTGTTACGCTTGAAAGAGACGCAAAATCGCTGTCTGAGCACTGGAGCTCAACATGCCAACTATGTTGCACACAGGCCAATATTCACCTTAAACTAGCAATTAGTAGAGAGATGCACATTCCACAGGTGTGGAGTAACCACTTGATTAATGCTGGGAGGAATCAAGACAGATAGTAAATGCTGCAGACTGATGGGGTCTAGTCTACACTTGTTTCACTCATGTTTGAAACAATGTTTGTTATTTCAAGAATACCAACACCATAGTGATGAAGATTTCTCAAGGTTGAGATGAGAAACTGGGGTGGGGGGGTCTTGGGGACTAGACTCTTTGCACAATGCATGTTTTTGATTTCAGGGATACAGTGGAGGTAATTGTTGTTGCACTGGAAAACATTTGCAAATAGATGGAAAACAACATTTATCAACCAAGAGATGTCCAACACACAGCCATAATGGCAAGCTCCTCTGCCTGTCAGAAATGAACTTTTTTTATTGTTTTTTTTATAAACATTCAGTCTCTCATTTTATATATATATACACATTACCAATGAAAACTTGTGAAATATGATTAAATATTGCAATTTAAAATGTATTTCTATTTTAATATATTTTAAAATATAATTTATTATTTTGATGGCAAAGCTGAATTTTCTGCAGCCATTACTCCAGTCTTCAGTGTCACATGACCCTTCAGAAATCATTCTAATATGCTGATTTGATGCACAACATTTCTTCTTATTATAACTGCTGAAAACAGTTGTGCTGCTTAATATTTTTGTGGAAGTTTTTACCGCCATTTGTGATAAACTGAATGCATCTTTGCTGAATAAAAGTAATAATTTCTTCAAAAAGAAAAAACTGACTGACCTCAACATTTTAAAAACTTTTGGAAATATATATCAATAAATATTAGCTACGCATTCATCAGCACTAACTATTCTGACAGCTATATCTGCAGAGGCACAAAACTAAGACTAGATTGACCTAGAAGAATGATATATTCTGAAATATATCAAATATAGGCAACAGGTTAAAACTGTGGAGACATTTTAATGTCTGTTATTCTTAGTGACATTTTCACCCCAAACCCAGGTTCATATCTGACCCTGTTGTGAAGAAATGCTTGTTGAGAATTACAGCATCCAGCCTTCACTATTGTCTTTGAGGTGGTGTGGTGTAGTTGTAAAAGATCTGGGTCAGCAACTGAAAAATCTGAACTTTGCAAAGGATGACTCATGAGCTATCACAAGGTATGTAAACTGAGATGAATGACTTATTCTTTGATTATTGACATTCAGAAATTCTAACAGCCCAACTTGGGAAAAAATCCTTGTTTATAGGAAAATCAAGGATGGACACACATTTCAGCAGAAGAGCACAAACACACACGCAACAGGATGGGCCTCTCTTCATCAGTTTACCCCCACCCTGTGTGTCAGAGGGTCTAGCCAGTCTGGAGAACAGATGTCAAGTCTCCTTCCATCTCCTTTGCTACCAACACAGCAATGTGCTGCTCCAAGAAAACATCTGTCTAAGCACTGACCATCAGCAAAAGAGCCCCACGAATTGGCTCATCCGCCCTTTGAAACTTGCAAGTCTGTGTGCCACTGTAACTGCAAAGGTATTCTGAGCCCTGCCAGATTCCTCTCCCTTTTTCTACTTGATCAACAGCACTAAATGAGATCATTTTGAAATGTTACTGAGATGTGAAGTGTAAAATGATTATTTAGCTCTGCATACCACCTTTTCATCGATGCAGATTTGTATGCTTAATCAGAAGGTAGACAGTCCAAACAAACATCTTTCAAAGTTCAAGTATTCTTGAAAAAACATGAACCACTTTGAACCACGCAATACACAAGTTCAGGACAAGAGCTGCAACATTTGTTGCACTTTTTTGATGTGGGCTCTCAGACGACCCATGAAGAACAAACAAATGCAAATCATGACACATCTCGTCCCCTTCGTCCTCACATTCCTGAAAGTGTGAAATTTGGAGGAGGGAAAGAACCCCTCATGTTACATCACCTCTCAACTTAGAATCTACAAAAAGTTCATTAGCACTATAATCACTCGAGCAAAAGCAAGGCCTACAGGATTTTACAAACCCATTAATCACTGTTAATTAGTGTTTTAAATTAAATTAATCATGCTTAATCACTCAAGTATTTTGCAGAAATGACGTAGAGTTGAGTAGAATACTTCTAAGGTTTTAAGTTAGAAGTCTAATTTCAAAATGCATGTTTTATCTAGCAGTATTTATTAATTATAATATTAGTTTGCTCAAAATTGTCTTAAATTGGGTTACTTTTGTGAATTGTGTCCTCTATAGATTCCAATTTATGTATATATATATATATATGGCTTCTAAATTGTTATTTTTAGCTGTTCCACTGTATTCATGATAGAGCAACACAGGACAGATGAAGACATTTTGTAGGTGTTCTGTTGATGAGTGCACATGGAGCATGATGGGACATGAAGGGTTAAATCGGTGGGGAGGGGAGGTGACAGCAAACCAAAAGAAGAGGGGGATATAAAAACACCAAAGGCTTCGTGGGCACGAGTCTGACTGTGTTTGTGCTGGACTAAAGATACAGAACGACAGAAGGGAACACGCACACACACACTAGTACTGAGCTGTGGTGTCGTGTGTTATTTGACAGCGCGCGTTTACGCAGAAGGTGAATGTGGATACTCTTGCGCAAGAGCAGCTCATACACCCTCCTGAGGACAGAGCTCAGATGAGTTAGTCAGAGGAGGAACTTTGGATCTTGATCACACTGAAAATGGGCTTAGAGTGAACTACACTTCATCCCTGAAGACACAGTGGCATTTGGAAAGGATGACAGCACTTCGCGCAACGCATAGGAGCGCAACAATGTACCCAAACCAGACGTTTTATAGGCCTATTAGACGTGAAGGACAGACCACGAGAATTTGAAGTGGATTGAACTGGGGAGACTTTGTGTTTTGTATTTTCAAACATAAGAAGAATGCTACAGGGTCTCAGAATTGTGTACTTGTGCCAGTGTATCTGATTTACCTGCGCACAAGTAAAAGCTTTTCCTCAATGAAAAAGTAAAACTTTATATATCAACATATAATCTACTTGCTTTTGCATTTTATACTAATGTTAAAAGAAAAGTAAATACCTCAATGGAATGGTACACAGCTTTGGAGTTTGTGGAACTTACTTTTCTGTTTTTTAAAGGTAATTCAAGTTCTTTTTGGACATCAGGATTATACCCCTTTTAAGAACAGGCGCTATAGATCCATCATTGATCTGGTCAGTTTTCAAACGTGGAGTGATTGGGCTTCTTTGAGATCATTTCTAGCCAGTTACTCTTTTTCCCGTGAGTATTGCTCTTCTGGACCCCGAGGTGGCTCCGCAGTGGTGTGGCGGCTCCTCGTCCGCGGCGGATCCGGAGATCGGAGTGTCTGCAGCGGCAGGAGGCGGCAGCGGAAGCCTGGCAGCGGCGGCGGTGGCGCAGGGTCCTAAGAGCGCGCGAGTGAAAAGGATGGTGCGGCTGGCGGCGGAGCTGCTGTTGCTGTTGGGACTCCTTCTTCTGACGTTACACATCACGGTGTTGTGGAGCAGCCCGCTGCAGCACGGAAATGACACTGTGAGCTCCGAGCAGGACTCGCGGTTGGCGGTGAGTTAATTCTAACTCAATACGGGTGAATTTTATGAAAACACGTCCAGATCATATTTCTCTCCGAAATCAAAAGAAATTTTATTTTTACATTAAGAAAGGTAAATCTAATTGTAAGACCATTAAGGTTTTTCACATTTATTTATTTATTTAATACCACACTGAATTTTTTTTTTCATTCATCCAATTAAAACAATTTAGGGTAATGATTCACATGTATATTTTTTAACTTGAGCCAATGAAAAATAAATAACTTGCTCTTAATTTTTCATTGGCTCAAGTTAAAAAATATACACTGTAAAAAAAATTCCTACGATTTATGGTAAAAAAAACGGCAGCTGTGGTTGCCGAAATTTTACCGTAAAAAAATACGTAGCAACGTTTTAGGTTTTAGGGTTTTAACTTAAATTTACAGTTAAATACCGTATTTTCATTAACTGATATAATGTTAATATACCAACCTATTGAAGTACTGAAATCTGTTGTGCACCTTTGTAATACACTGATAACCACCAAATGCAGGTGGTAATGAGAAAGTCACATGATGAACCAAAGCCCATCACTAGCATCTTTTAGATAATAACATATATAGAAGGTGCACAGTGTCATTCACACAGACACTAAACACCATCATGGTAACACACATGAAACTTAAATAATGCAATAAACATTCATTTAACAACATTAGGTGTAACACACAACCCTAATATACAAAACTGATAAGAAAAAACTAAGAAGAAACATAGTTATTTCAGCAAAAAAACAAATTTGAAATGTAACGCAGAGAATTCTGGGAATGTCAATTTACGGTATTCTACCGTAAAATTTATGTCAAATACATGTAATGTCCGATACAGTTTTTCACCGTGTATAGTAAGGGAATTTACCGTTAACCATTTAACAGGTTTTTACTGTAGCATTTTTACAGTCTTTTACCGTTAAATTCACAGTCATTTTTTACAGTGTACATGTGATTTGAAATGTAACGCAGAGAATTCTGGGAATGTCAATTTACGGTATTCTACCGTAAAATTTATGTCAAATACATGTAATGTCCGATACAGTTTTTCACCGTGTATAGTAAGGGAATTTACCGTTAACCATTTAACAGGTTTTTACTGTAGCATTTTTACAGTCTTTTACCGTTAAATTCACAGTCATTTTTTACAGTGTACATGTGAATCATTACCCTACATTTTTTTAATTGAATGAATTAAACATTTTTTTCAGTGCATAATGACAATTTGTCTGGGAAATTTCAAGAAAAAGCCACAAGGCAAAACGAAACACTCAATAAATAAATATATAAATCTATTGTGTCGCCATTACGATAATATAATTTCATTTGACTGATTAGTTTATGTGCCTTACAGTAAATAAATGAAAAACATGACTTTCACCATCTCTGCATTGCATCACTGGATAGATAGATAGATAGATAGATAGATAGATAGATAGATAGATAGATAGATAGATAGATAGATAGATAGATAGATAGATAGATATGAATATAATATGCATATATATTGTGATGGTAAATCAACCATAACATCATTATTGGTAATGTTGCACAGATTCATGCATTGTTATGTATCTAGTCAGGTTTTGACATAGCATAGTTCAAACTGGACTGGGGTTCAGCCAAGGTCAGCGATGGTCTCTTTCTCTCTAGCTGACTAGCTGCAGGCTATCGTTTATCACCACTGGTCCATCAGTGTCACTCAAGCATCCTGTTAATATATTCTTGCTTCAAACTGTGCATTTGCCAAGATTAAAAAAAGGGGAAGCCAAATATAGACCCTATGTGTTCAACATATTGGTGCACAGCATGATTGTGGCCCATTAAAACAGAGCAGGGTGACTTTCAGAGCTACAGAAAACATTCTCAGTTTAGATTGTGCTTTAGTGCCGTTAGCCGAGATTAGACCTGGCTTTAATGAGTGTGTGCAGATTTCAGCTAAAAGTGTTCTGCCATCTGTTTACGGCGCAAGTGCAATGCTCCCAGAGACCAGACCAAGGGGTCAAGAAGGGTTTGAGATCAACAGGGCTTTGTTGGGTGCATTAAAAACCCTGCGGCTGGCTTTTTGATGTATTTTTAGCATGACACCGAGATGCCTTTGTCAGTCTGCAAACATTGGCATAACACCATGATGAATGTGTGTTTATCCACTATGGTGGCTCTCTTGTAGAGGAATAGCAGTAGCAATGAGATTCAGCTGAACAGTTAAATTATGTTGTTGTTGTTGTTGTTTTTTTTATTATTATTATGTAATTCTTCAACAGCTATATTCCTAGTTAGAAACCCATGCGGTTTGAAGAATGGTGTGTAATGTTTTTGTAGGAACTGTAAAATGTACAGACTACAGTTGTTCATGGTATCTTAGGCCCATTTACACCTGATATAAAAAATTAATCTCCAGCAATCTGATTGTTGATTAACTTCCTGAACAGATTCGATGAACAAACCCTCCTAAATAACAAAACAAAACATTGTAGCTGGTTTGTTACTTGTACAAGGTTGTCTACCAGCACTAACCAGGGGTGCATTTCACAAAAGCAACTATGGTCGCAAACTCTGTCATTACCAATAGAGTCCAATGGAACTTGCGGCCATAGTTAGCCAATGATGCTTTTTGGGAAACACACAAAAGGTTGGCCACGACGGTCAAAACCCAGCTGATAGTCAATTTTTTCAAACATCTAGAGCAACTAACGATCATAGATGATTAGCTTGAGCTAGCTTGGGAACACCATTCCATTCTAATGCGCTCCTTCTGTCCGTGAAGTCTGATTGAGACTACTTTTTTGCGAATTGAGCCTTAGCCACTTTTAACCACCCTCATCCATATTTAGTATATGTCGGGATGGTGCTTTTTTCTTGCTGGAAAGTTACACAGTGTAAATATACTTCTACACTGAGTCTGACATCAATTGTAGAATGCCCCCTGAGGTCAGGGTGGAAACAAGCTGATAATTGAGATTCATTTTTGAATCTGTGACAACAAAGAGTCAAGAATTATATACAGAGGGATGATTCACACTCAACAGCTTCCTTTGACATTTATCTTTATTCAGAATGATTCAAGTCTTTGATTATCTGTGAGCCAGCTGGTGGGTCACACAAAAACTGGGTCACAGGTTTGTTCTGATACAGCAAGGAAAAGCGATATGCTAAATAAAAACAATAAAATGCAACTTGCATATATAGTTAGCATGATACAAATAAACAGCCTTTTAAAAGGGAAAATAGATTTCTGAAAAGCTGAAGCAAAAACCAATTGATCTAATTGTTCTATGGTTTCTGTTATTGTTTTATGCAGATTAATGTCAATGCAGAAAGCAGTTCCTCTGTTCAGTTGGGGCCGGGTGACAGGCAGTCCTGGGTGCCTCATATTCCAGCGTCTCAGCCCTGGGTTCAGAGTCACGGGACAGGGGGCAGCCTGCAGAGAGATGGACCAGGAGCTTTTCTGCTGGACCTGCAGAACTTCCCTGATCTTTCCAAAGCTGATATAAATGGGCAAAACCCCAACATTCAGGTAGGAAGATGCTCAGAATCCATGTGTTTTCCTTAGATTTACGAAATCACTTGCAATGTTCATCAGTGTCACATATAATATAATATTTATTATTCATGTATAATAAGGTGTTTCTCAGCACGTAATAAACACATTGCGTAGTCTTTGTATATTTTATATGTCTTGGTTTAAAAAAATTAAATAAAAATAACTGTAATATTGTGGAATATTGCAATTTAAAATAACATTACTCTATTTTCATATATTTGTTTTCCTTAGATTTACGAAATCACTTGCAATGTTCATCAGTGTCACATATAATATAATATTTATTATTCATGTATAATAAGGTGTTTCTCAGCACGTAATAAACACATTGCGTAGTCTTTGTATATTTTATATGTCTTGGTTTAAAAAAATTAACTGTGGAATATTGTGGAATATTGCAATTTAAAATAACATTACTCTATTTTCATATATTTTAAAATGTAATTTATTTCTGTGATGCAAAGCTGAGTCCAGTCTTCAGTGTCACAGATCATTCAGAAATTATTCTAATATGCTGATTTGCTCAAGAAACATTTCATATTATCAATGTTGAAAACATTTGTTGCATCATATTTTTATGTAAACTGTGATTCGCTGCCATTCAAAGGTATTTTTTATTAGTTTATTTATTATTATTTATATTATAAGTATGTAATACTTTTATTCAGCAAAGACACATTAAATGAATCAAAAGTGACAGTAAAGACATTTAAATGCTGTTCTTTTGTTCTTTCTATTAATCAAATAATTCTTGTTTTCAACATTGATAACAATAAAAACCATTATTAATAATTGAGCACCTATAATAATTGATACAATTTGAATTTTTCCTACCCCACTGGCAAATAATTTTTAAGCACAAATCTAACAAAATAACTATTTGCCAATGAGGTAAGACATAAACTTAGAATTGGGTAAATTAAATATACATACACTCTAAAAAATGCTGGGTAAAATAGGGACAAACCCAGCAATTGGGTTGTTTTGACCCAACGTTTGGGTTACTACCCAGAAGATTGGGTTAAACATTTAACCCAACCGCTGGGTCAAAACAGCCCAATTGCTGGGCTTGTCCCAATTTTACCCAGCACTGGGTTTTATTTAACCCAGCATTTTTTAGAGTGTAAAATTTAAGAAAACTAAATAATGCAAGATACTTGCAATATACGGTATATTCTCAAATTATTTTACATAATCTATCTAGGTTTTAAGCATGTTTAGATTTTTCAAAAAAGTCAAAAAATAATTGTTAAGAAAATATTTTTTTGCTGTGCACAAACACAAAGACTTTTAAAGGAGACATGGCTGACCAAGCAGATAAAGTAAAATCTCAGCAAACAGAAAGTGGCAGAAAGCCCTGATGCACTTCAGCACTTCTTTTCAAGAAGAGAGCCTTTTGGTCCCCCCGCTTTCTCTCTCTCTCTCTTCACACACACACACACACACACACAACCTCTAACATCCACCTAGAGTCTTAGTAACCACATGCACCTGCACAGCACCGGCTGCCAACTAATCCACCACAGGCTTGATCCACATCAGAAGCAAAAACATGTGAATCTTGACCAAGAATGGTCGAAAGGATAAAGTGTATCGATGTCTTAAGATGGCAGTTAATATGTGTGCGTGTGTGTGAGAGAGAGAGAGAGAGAGTCTCGGGGGCGGGGTGGGGGGCATGGTTATCTTTGATCCAAAGCATCATCTGGCTTTCATGGTCTTAAGGAGGCTGAGAGGCCCTTTGAACTTGATGTTTAGGTGGAGAGAGCAAGAGAAAGAGAGGCTACAGAGGGGAAGCCCACTTGCCCCAATCTGGGAGGCACATGTGTTACTGGTGGGGTGGGGGTGTCACTGCAGAATGGCAGCCTCTCAGAGCGAGTCACGGAGCATGACCATAACCTAAGCCAACGTCCATCTGGACCTCCACAAGATCACACTACCCCTTACTGTTTGATGTTCCACAAAAACCCTCTCTCAGAACAACAAACACCCTTGATCTGTATGATTATTCTCAACATGTGCAAGTAAACAAATTAGATTTGCAATAAAAGGGACCGATGCAGACTGCAGTGTTTGATTTAGTTTTATAGCACAGCATGAAATTACTGTTTTGAAATGTTTCTTACAAAAGGAAATTGTTGGAGGTATGGTAGTATCAAATGGTACTACCATAGTACTACTAAAAGATTAAAATAAATAAATACATAAAGTAATTGTATATACAGTGTATATAAATAAAATCACAATTAAATATAATAAATATATAATTTATATAATAGATATTTTGAAATACATTTCTATTTAAAATAGTTTTTAATTTAATTAATTAAAAAAAATTGTTTTTATTTATATTAACAGTTTATGTATACACTTGAACAGTAGTGTGTATGAATGAAAACATTTATTTAAATGAAAATTATGTTTATATAATTATATTTATTTCAAAATATTTAATATATTTTTAAATAGCATGTGAAATATCACACATATCAAAAATACAGTAAAATCAGTTTAAATATGTTTGCAATTTCAAATATATTTCTCTGTTTTAATGTATTAAAAAATTTAATTTATTCCTATGATGTCAAAGCTGAATTTTCAGCATCATTACTCCAGAAATCATTCTGATATACTGGAAACACTTCCTATTATTACCAATGTTGAAAACAGTTGTGCTGCTTAATATTTTTGTGGAAACAGTGATTCTTTTTTTTTATGAATAGAAAGTTCTAAAGAACAGCATATATTTGAAATATAAAGCTTTTGAAACATTATTAATGTCTTTACTGTCACTTTTGATCAATTTAATTTGTCCTTGATGAATAAAAGTATTAATTTTAATTTAGGATTATTTAAGTAAGCATGAACATGTAATTCATATGATATATTTGAGGTATTAAATCCCTGCAATAATAACAGTAAGTGATATTTTCCTCATTAAACACGTCTAATGATGGTATCCTTTAAAATCTTTAGGTTACCATAGAAGTGGTGGACAGCCTGGAAAGTTCGGAGCCAGAGAAGGGAATACGCAAAGAAAACAAGCCTGGCTGGGCGGCTCCTAACTGGAGGAACTGGTGGCAGCGTTCGTCTTCCTCATCCTCATCTTCCACGTCCACCCCAAAGGGGCCCGACGAACAGGATTACCCCTACGAGAGCAACACGGAGGACAGTAACTTCCTCAAACCGCTCGGAGACTGGGAGCGAAGAGGGTCTGCTGGCACAGGAAGCAGATCCCAGACTGAATACGGTACGTTGCAGACGAGCGTGTGTATGTCTTAATGAAGGGCTCTGCAAAGCATAAATATGGCTCTGCCATGAGGTGATGGAATCTGTAATTTGCTCGTCAGAAGATTTATACTGTCACTATACCAAGGACAGCGCTTCTTACGGAGTCTTTGATTGTAGATTGCATCCTGTAAGAGACATATTCCTGTGTGGCAGAAAACACTCCTGAACATCAAAGCAGGAGAGAGAATCTAGTCCTCCAGTCTAATAGCTCTCTTTCTGTCTTTTTTGGTGAAGTGGAGTTAAATGAGTGAATGTGTGTTGCTGTCAGAGACTGCAATTCATGTCAAACGCATTCTTACCCTGTCACCACTTGCCTAAACACTTTTGCTTGAGAGGAACTCTCTCTGATCAATGTGTTAAGGTAAGACCAATCCAAAGTTAAAACTTCTCCATATAAATGTTCCTCATGACTAAAACACAGTCTGTTGTGGCCGTGACTCATTCCTGAGGGTTTGCCATATCTGCTCTTGATTGGTTTATTCGTTTCCATTAGCGGTGTGTGGGGAACTGTGGTTTGTGTGGGTTTCAGACATGTCGTTGCCTGTGAGTTGGCCCGCACCCGACTGTGACCATGCAGTTTAACGGTGCTGAAAGCAATGTTGTCTTTTTAAGACCGAAGGTCTTTGTTTTTCTCTCATCAGGGGATATAGATTGTGGTTGCTTGGTTGGTTTGTGTGTATATACACTACCAGAAAAGTTTGGAATTATGTAATGACCAAAAGAAATGTTAAACAAATCAAAACTTCCTTATAATTTAGCTTTTTCAAAGTAGCCACCCTTGGTTTGTCTGCTTTTCTTTCATTATCTAAAGAAAGAAAGAAAGAAAGAAAACAAGGTTTAAAAATAAATAACAAATTATAATATATAAATAAAACTAAACAAACTTAAAATAAACAAACATTATTATTATTATTATTATGTTAAATTGGTGTTGTAGATATAAAGAATTTCTTTACAAAACTGACATTAACATAATAATAAATTTCTTAGCCACAATTTAAATATTTTACAGTTTAATCTGTTTTATTATTAGATTAATAATCATCATCATCATCATGATCATGAATAATCATGAATAATAAAAAATAATGTTAAACAAATACATTTATATAAAAATTTCAGCTTTGATTTACATTTAATTTAGAAATTATCTTTCATTTCTAAACAGGAAATCTATAAACTTACATTGATTTCAAGCTAATTCAACAAGAGCAGATGTCATTTCGTCAGACAGACCAGCTTTAAATTCCCATTGTAAGGATATAAAACTGTATTAAAGGTCATAAAATTATGGGAATGTCAGAAAAACATTGTTCTAGAATTTCTAGAATACTCCACCTCAATACATTAGCAACTGTTTTGTTTGCCCCCTCATCACTGAATCAGAAATGTAAGTACAGTACTTTTATGTTGTTTAAAAAGTAGTTGGAAATGGGCTTGGCTCATTCATTCACCCACTCCCATGTGTATGAGCCAATTAGAGAGGTATGCTAATGGAATAGGCCAGCAGACAGAGTTTGAGTGCCTCAGGTATTTGAAACATATGGTCCGAATTAGATCTACGCAGTGGGACAGGAGTACAACATAACCTGTGCTTGAGATCAGGTCATAACACTCGAAGTTCCAGTTTCATTCATGAATCTGACCTCACTAGTTGTACTGTATGGTTTTGATTCACTAAAAAAAACAACTCATAAGATAGGTTCATTCATGAATAGGAACAATTTTATGTGCTGTTTTAAGTCAATCAAAACCATAAAGCATGATTAATGTGTTCCAATTCCCGTTCAAATGACTCTTAAAGTGTCCTTATTATGCCATTTTACGGTTCCTAATATTGCTTTGGGAGTCTCCTACAACAGGTTTGCATGCATGCAAGTCAAAAAACACTTTCGTTTTCTCATAATATAAATTTCAGTTCACCGCATTTATCAATGATTCATCAGTATAATCAAACACAGCTGGACTCAAATGAAGGTGTAGAACCATCTCAAGGATGATCAGAAGAAATGGACAAGAAAAGCACCTGAGTTAAATATATGAGTGTCACAGCAAAGGGTCTGAATACTTAGGACCATGTGATATTTCAGTTTTTCTTTTTTAATAAATCTGCAAAAATGTCAACAATTCTGTGTTTTTCTGTCAATATGGGGTGCTGTGTGTACATTAATGAGGAAAAAAATTAACTTAAATGATTTTAGCAAATGGCTGCAATATAACAAAGAGTGAAAAATTTAAGGTGGTCTGAATACTTTCCGTACCCACTGTATTTATGTATATAACAATTACCCAACAAGCAATGCATTTTTTGTTTTATCAATGCATATTTTTATTTTTCATTAAATGTGCATTTCTGTTCTGAGTTTGGGGTCGATAAAACCTGTTGGAAAAAAGTTCCTTATGCTCACCGAATCTGCTATATTTGATTTGATCAAAAAAACAGCAAAACCAGTCATATTATGAAATAGTATTACAATTTAAAATACCTTTTCGATTTTCATATATTTTAAGATGTATTTTATTCCTGTAAAGCAAAGCAGAATTTTCAGCAGTTATTACTCCAGTTTTCAGTGACATGATCCTTCAAAAATCATTCTAATTTGCTGATTTGATGCTCAAGAAACATTCCTAATTATTATCAATGCTGAAAAGAGTTATGGTGCTTAATATATTTGTGGAATACATGATAAAAAAAATTTCAAGACTGATAAATAGAAAGTTCAAAACAGCAGAATTTGTAAAACAGGATTTTAATGCTTCCTTGCTGAATAAAGTATTTAAAGGGGTCATATGATGTTGCTAAAAAGAACATTATTTGGTGTAATGAAATGTGTTTATGCAGTTTAAGGTAAAAAAAAAAAACATTATTTTCCACATACTGTACATTATTGTTTCTCCTCTATGCCCCACCTTTCTGAAACACGTCGATTTTTACAAAGCTCATCGTTCTGATAAGCGAGGTGTGATCTGATTGGCCAGCTATCCAGTGTGTTGTGATTGGCCGAATACCTCAAGCGTGTGACGGAAATGTTACGCCCCTTACCATATTGTGATCCCTTGTTCCGGCCGGAGCGACGAGACAAAAACATAATTACGGATTATAATGACTTATACTGTCTTTTTTACGCATTGCACCGCGTAACATTAAAACCATGTCTGCATTTGTGATCGGAGAAATTACAAACTACAAACACTATTCTACACTGCTCAAAACTCGCGTTTGAATCGTCAGTGGCAAATTCTTTAAATATAAAAAACTTACTTACAGTCTGAGAGTCAGAACAGCCGGCATTGTAGTCTACTCTACCAGGATCAGGAAACAGTCCTCCATAAAATGCACTGGACACATCGGAATATTTGGGCTGAACGGTTCTGGAACAATGTTGTAAATACCACTTAACTACTGATTTCTAGTCGTGTCCTCTTTTGGAAGGCCAAACAAAGTAGTTTCGCTTTCACAACGAAACACAGCGTCACACACGCGGGCTTGAGTGAGCGGAGGCCTAGAGTGAGCAGAGGCTGGCCTGAGTGAGCGGCGGCGGGCGGGCTTGCGGCAACCACATGTGACCTCCGGGATGGACTTCGCTTTGTCCACGGTGAAAGCCGATTCGGCGATCGACAGCGCAAAGTTGTAGTATTTCCTCAGCGACCAGCACAGATCAACATGGCGGCGGCGGCAACAATACTACAGTGAGAATAAAATTTACGCCTTCTTTCTTTGCGTGAACATTTGGGTGGTGTTATGCAAATCTTCCCACATCGTGACATAGACATGTGGGGGCGTGTTAGAACGAGCCGTTTTAGGTAGGCGTGGCTGAGTCTTAACTTATATAAAGAATATCTCTTTGGATTTGAGACTTTAGTCTTTGCAACTTTACAGATCTTCTTTATGCACCAAGAGCTTGAAACACTCCAAAGAGAAAGGAAAAATTGAAATCGCATCATATGACCTCTTTAAATTAATTGCTTAAAAATAGTAAAAAAGAAACAAAAAAGGTATATTATTTTAAATATAAACATGCATATATATACAGGTGCATCTAAATAAATTAGAATGTTGTGGAAAAATTCATTTATTTCAGTAATTCAACACCAAGACATTTTGGAGCACTTCATGCTTCCTTCTGCTGACCAGCTTTTTGAAGATGCTGATTTCATTTTCCAGCAGGATTTGGCACCTGCCCACACTGTCAAAAGCACCAAAAGTTGGTTAAATGACCATGGTGTTGGTGTGCTTGACTGGCCAGCAAACTCACCAGACCTGAACCCCATAGAGATTCTATGGGGTATTGTCAAGAGGAAAATGAGAAACAAGAGACCAAAAAATGCAGATGAGCTGAAGGCCACTTTCAAAGAAACCTGGGCTTCCATACCACCTCAGCAGTGCCACAAACTGATCACCTCCATGCCACGCTGAATTGAGGCAGTAATTAAAGCAAAAGGAGCCCCTACCAAGTATTGAGTACATGTACAGTAAATGAACATACTTTCCAGAAGGCCAACAATTCACTAAAAAATTTTTTTTTATTGGTCTTATGAAGTATTCTAATTTGTTGAGATCGTAAATTGGTGGGTTTTTGTTAAATGTGAGCCAAAATCATCACAATTAAAAGAACCCAAGACTTAAACTACTTCAGTCTGTGTGCATTGAATTTATTTAATACACGAGTTTCACAATTTGAGTTGAATTACTGAAATAAATGAACTTTTCCATGACATTCTAATTTATTGAGATGCACCTGTATGTGTGTGTGTGTGTGTGTAAAATCTATATATACAACTTTTTTATTGAATAGATTTACAAAAAATATAAAATGTGTATATAAAATGTAAAAACAAAAAAAAAACAATTAAAATTATATGGCTATAATATAATATCCATAAATTCATAAACACATTTATGAATAAAGAAACCATGCATCTGACTGGTTTGTAGTTTTCAACACATTCTTACTGATGCTTTCAAAATTATCACAAGTAATTTTGCTAAT